CGCAGAAAGAACCACGTCCTCATCCCAGCCAAGCGCGGCAAAAGTTGTGCGCCCGAAGCCTTGGATAAGGCCATCCTCGGCCTTGGCGGATGTCAGCGCACCGCAGGATATGTTGGCCCCCAAGAGTATGAAGGCCAACATCACCAACGGCAGCGAACGAGTCCTAGTCACCAGGGACTTCAACGGCAACACCCCAGCCGTCACTTTGGTACTTGTGGTTGCCGCCGCCTATGTCAACCACCCAAGTGACTGCATTGTCCCAAAAGATTCCGTCCTCGACCACCGTCCAGTCATACTCGGTATCGGAACCCAAATAATCCTCTATCCGGTCACCCCACACACCCTCGTGATACTCTAGACTGGAAAATTTGTTGTCACAGTTAACCCATTCGTGATCCCGGTGGCTTGAGGCGACGATGTAATACCCCCAGTTGGAGTTGTAGTTCACACCTGAATTGGCGTAGAACCGCATGTGGCCAAAGTTCCAAGCGCAGCCGGGATTGGTCTTCAAGCCACGGTCGCTAGTAATGTTGCTACCTACATGAGTGGGCCCGTCATCGATGTGGGCGTATTTGCCAGTGGCCAGAAAATTAGTTAATTGCGGGTTAATATGGGGGTCTGCCCCGGCTCCGTCGATGCGGTCCGTAACATAGTCCACGTTTGCGTTCTCATGAAAGATGAAGCGCATACCCCAGTCAACATTATTCTCGTCTTGATCTTCGGCGGCCTCGAACGTCAAGAAGTCCCAGTTCCAGACGTAGTCGGACTGGCCGAGCGACTTCCGGTTCAGGGTCCCATCCGGAGCGATGTTGGCCTCCGCTAATGTGGGATTCAGAAGTAAATTGGCACCCGACAATGTGAGGTACCCCAAGGCTGCGACCGCAATTATAAAGAGCGCGGCAACATTCTTATTCAAAATTCTCATGGGTTTCTCCTGCATTGTTACGATTTGAAAACTCAATCTCTAGCAGTCTGTCTGAAAATTAGTTGCTAGAAAAGATAAGCGTTAATATCCGATGTCATTCGCCAACTAAAGGCCATGATGTGTCCATATTGGGAATAGTATTTTCTGCTGGACACGACTATCGTTTGGAACATTCTTTCTCAGACAGACTGCTAGTCGTCCTCGGTGCCTGGCGCACATTTGGCCTCCAGGTCCTCGATAGCGCCGTTGTAAACCAGTTCGCCGGTCTTGGCGTCGTAGATGGCGATCTTGTGCTCGCTGGTAAGGGGCTCGGCGAGGGCTCCCTGCTCCACATCTACACTATCCTCCGGAGCACCTATCACGTTGCCTATGACCGCCCTCTCCTTAACGTCCACGAAAAGAGCAAGCTTTTTGATGTTGCTGAACTCCATCGTCCCCACAGTCTTGCGGGTGCCCTGGCAGATTGCATTAGTCCAAGGACCGGAGCTTGTGACCGGGTTTGCCCAAGTAGCTTCCAGCCTTACGACCTCCTCGCCTCCTACTTTGATGTGGTAGAACTCAGAGGCTTCCCAATCTTGATTGCCGTTGATTTCCTTGACTACCCCGGAGCTGGCCACAATCTCTCTAACTTCCTGCTCTTCCTCTGGAGTCAAACTGGCGCTGGTAGGGATTGCCGGAAACAGTGGAGCCGTTGGGCTACTGCCTTGGGCTGCGTACAAACCCACGGAGGAGCCCATAATCATAATCCCCAGTAACACGAACACCAGAAGTTTTGGTTTGTAAATAGTTGGCATTAGTTTCTCCTTCTGTTGCACCCTCGCGGAATCACCCACAAGGGTGGAAAATAAGCGGCCTCTTTTGCTATCATCACCCCAGTCGGGGGTACCGACTACGGACGGGTCATATATTTGGGCAAGGAACTCACCTCCCTAATTGGATTCGTCCGGTAGACGGCCACCACTCTTATCCAGTGGTGGTCGTCCTAGTCGTGGATAGCTCAGCCTTCTGAGCGAAGGCAACCCTATCACACGACTTTGTGATAAATAACCCCTACCGGGGCGGGTGATAATTTCGGAATCTTAGGTGGACCCCATTGAGTCATAGAGCATCTCGTGGGGATAGCGCTACCCCGGAGTGCAACGCATTTGCATGGAAGCAAGCAAAAGAGAACCCACGCCCCAAATGGGGGCGTGGGTTCAAACAGAAATCTGGCGGTTCCCAGGAAACAGAGATACCCTGGAATAACGTAACTTCGGAACTGCGCCGTCCTTGTGGGCGGCATGATATAGTTAGGCTCATGGCCCATGGTGGTCTTTTCACCATTGGCGCCTACGGCCAGTCCAGTTGCTGCTGCGCTGGTCGGGCAGCCTGCAGGGCGTTTGCCCTGCGGGCTATTTATTTAGGTGTGGTGGTGAGTTATATAGAGTTTCGAGGTATTTGTCAACAGTGTTGGCTCGGGCTGAACAGCAAGCAAGTGTGAGATATTCTTCATATCTATGATTCACGATACTGGCCGAGTCGGGGGTGAGACCTTTCCACTTTTTCCCTACCTTCCATTAAAGGGGCATTTTCCCTTCGGATCAGCCTAACGGTAAAGAGGTAGAAGTCGGGGTGTTTTGAGGAACTCCAAGAGTGATGACGAGTAGTCAGTGAGTCCGATCATTTGTCACGGAAAGATCTCAGGCCTGCCGATTCGATAAGAACACGCCTAAAGGGTTCGGAGACGACGACGCTGAGGAACACCCCCTCAATTGTCAATGACACTGCCGACCAGAGTGGCTCAAGTTTCAACATAGACGGCACTGCCACTGCAATCAGCAACACGGGAAGAAAAAGGTGGTCAACTGCCAGGCGGGGCTGTTCCTGGCCTACGTGAGCCCGTTGGGACGGGCCCTGGTGGACAAGCGCCTCTATCTGCCGGAGAGCTGGACCTCGGACCAGGACCGGTGTGCGGCGGCGGGAGTGCCGGAGGAGCGACGGGGCTACCGGTCGAAGACGTAGTTGGCATTGGAGCTCCTGGAGCGGGCAGTGGACCTGGACCATCTGAGAGCCGGGTGGGTTGCGGCAGACGATGCCTTGGGGATGTCGCCCTCCTTGCGGGACAGCCTGGCGGCCCTGGGGATGAAGTAGGTTCTGGACGTACCGGCGGGCTTCACGGTGTGCCGGTGGAGCCCGAGTGGACGACTCCGGTCTACCGGGGACGGGGTGGCCCTCCCAAGCCCAGATTGGTGGATGGGCAGCGGCACACCATGGGGGAGCGGAACGCCGAATTGCCCGAGGATGCCTGGCTGGAGATCACGGTGCCCCAGGGAAGCCAGGGGCCAGGCAGCTACCAGTTCAGCGCCCAGCGGGTGCGGCCGACCAGCAAAAGGAAGCCCGGCGAAAGCCACTGGGCCGTCTTTCGCCGGAACCTGGACGGCAGCGAGCCTCGCTACTACCTGTCCAACGCCGGCGAGGACACCATGCTGGAGACCCTGGCCTATGTGGGTGGCTCCCGCTGGCGCATTGAAACGGAGTTCGAGACGGAGAAAAGCGACGTGGGGCTGGACGAATATGAGACCCTCACCTGGGCGGGCGGGCATCATCACGTGGCCCTGTGCCTGCTGGTCGGAGCCTTCCTGCTGAGCCTGCGACAGGCTTGGGGGGAAAAGATGCCCCGGGTCACGAGACCTTAGGTGTACCGGGTGGTCCGGGAGATGCTGCCTAGGGAACGGTTCGGGCCGGCTGAGTTGATGTGGTGGCTGAAGGAGACGCAGTGTAGTAACGAACGGGCCAGTCGCTCCCACGCCAAGCGCCGCGCCACCCTTCGCGCATCCACCGCTATCCCTCCTTAAACTGTCGTTGTAATACTAAGGGGCCGCTCTCGAAATGACCCTGCACGAATCGCAGTTGGTACCGGCTTCTGCTGGATTCACCCCGCACTTTGCACAAATGCCGTTTTCCCTCAAACGGCTCCTCCTTTTCTGTGCATTTGCATTTTTGCGCTGCCGTTGCTTATCCTTATCCGAAGTAAAAGGGTGCCGGAGGTCCGGTGGTGGCCAAGATGAAGGATCAGGGCGAAGTATCACAGTGTAACGATAATTGTACAATCCCCTTGGCCACGGTGCCGGTGGCGTCGTCCACGGCCAGCAGCAGGTCGAACTTGGGACCCCGTTCCTCCAGCCAGGCATGGGGGCTGCCGTCCACCTGGATCAGCATCCCCTCCTGGGGCATGCGCTTCCTTCGGAACCGGTGTTGCTGGGAGCGGCGACTCCTCGGGCTGCCGATGCCGGCCTTCACCAATATGCGGCGCACCGTGGGCCGGCTCAGGTCTATCCCCTCCCGCTCCCGCAGCAACTCGGTGAAGTGGCTGTGGTTGGCGCCCGCGTAGCCGTTGCTGGCCAGTCTCACCACGGCCGCCGCCGCTGCTTCCGGCACGGCGTTGTGGGGCCTCCGTCCCCGGTTGCCGTGGGCCAGCGCCGCGGGACCTTCCTTGCGGTAGGCCGCCAGAAGCCGCTTGGTGTGGCGTTCACTTACTCCCATGACCTCGGCGGCCTGGGCGATGGGAAGGTGGTATTCCAGTACGGTGTTGAGCACTTTGATCCTTGCCTGTTCTCGCTGTTTCAATGTCACTTCCCTCATAAGGGTGACATTTTCGCTGAACAGTTGGCCGGTGACCTAATCGTAGAACATCAACACCGGGACCGCTACCTTTGCTCCACTAAAGGGGATAAGGGTCGGATGCTGGACGAATTCACCGTAGTGACCGGTTTGCATCGCAAGCACGCCATCCGGTTACTGGCTGGCAGTAAGTACGAGAAGGAAGAGGGAACTCGCTGGCGGGAAGACGCATCTACGTTGAAGCCGTCCGTGAGGCGACGATAGTGGTGTGGGAGGCTTCGGACCGCATTTGTGGTAAGCGCCTGCATGCGGCGCTGCCTCACCTGGTGGATTCCATGGAGCGCCACGGGCACCTGCAACTGGACTCACTGGTCAGGGAAAGACTGCTCACCGCCAGCGCATCCACTCTGGATAGGCTGCTGAAGCCCATCCGGTCCACCGCTGGGAGTCGCGCCGTCGGGGACGCCGGAAGTCCTTGGGACGCCAGGTGCCGGTACGGACCTACAACGACTGGAACAAGCCCCCACCGGGCTACCTGGAGATCGACTTGGTGGCCCACTGCGGCGGTCCATTGTCCGGTTCCTTCATCCACAGCCTGGTGGTGACTTACGCCTGCACCGGCTGGACCGAGGCCGTTCCCCTGCTGGCCAGGGACCAGGGCCTGGTCCTGGCGGGCCTGGAAGCCATCCGGCGGCAGCTGCCCTTTCCCATCCTGGGCATTGACTCCGACAACGACGGCGCCTTCATCAACGAGACCCTGTTGGCGTGGACATCTCAGCAAGGGATCGAGTTCACCCGTTGCCGGGCCTACCGCAGCAATGACCAGGCCTACATCGAGCAGAAGAACGGGGCCGTGGTGCGCCGCTTCGTGGGACATCACCGCTACTCGGGTCCGCTGGCTGGTCAGATGCTGGTCCAACTTTACCAGTCCCTGCGACTGTACGTGAATTACTTCCAGCCCTCCTTCAAGCTGGTGGAGAAGAACCGGGAGGGCTCAGCCACGCTCAAACGGTACAGCTCTCCGGCTACGCCCTGCGATCGGCTTTTGCGGCACGAGGCGGTACGCGATGAAATTAAAGAGCAACTGACCCAGCACCGCGTCGGCCTGGATCCCGTAGCCCTCCTGCATTGAATCCGCGAAGCCCTGGCCGCCCTGGTGGCCCTTTCCTCTCCCGATCACGGTGAGCCAGCCCAGCAGGAGAGCCTGGAGCAATTCCTGTCCCAACTGCCTACCCTGTGGCAGCAGGGCGAAAACCGCCCTACTCACACTCCCCGGACCAGGGGACCCCGCCATTGGCGTACTCGCCGGGATCCCTTCGAGGGAGCGTGGCAGGAAATCCTGGGATGGTTGGAAACGGAACCCGACATCACCGCCAGGACAATACTGGGCCGGCTGTACTCGCGCCGTCCTGACCGGTTCAGCGACACCCACTTGCGAACCCTGCAGCGCGGAGTGAAAAAGTGGCGGGGAGTAATGGCCAGGAAGCTGGTCTATTCAGGCTCGGACCAATCCGTCCCGACTCTTCTTTCAATGCCAGAAGATGTCCCTGTTGGAGCCGACCACAGGGTCTGACTTTCGGTAACATTTTCTCTTGACGCAACAGGCCGGCAGAATTAATTGTCGTCTATCACCCGGCAATCCCGCTCCGCCAACAATTCCTGGATCCGGGTGAACTGCAGCTTGTCCTGGGTAATCCACTGGTAGATCTGGTCGGACCAGGGCTCCAGCTTTTCCTCGGTGGGTGCCGGAGGCACCCACGGACCCGAGCGGCTGACAGACGCCAATACACTCAACTGGTCATCGGTGGGGGCTAGCCCCTCCTTGACCACCCCTGCTTCCCGCCTGCCAGCGCCGGATCACTTTCCTCTTTCTCCAATCTGTGCACGTCCTTGTACGCCATCGCTACACCTCGCTTTCAAGTGCAGCAATGGTCGCCCATTGGACGCCCAAAAGTGGCCTCATGACCTTGGTTAACTCCTCTTTTCTTACCCTTATGTTCCTGGTGATTCACAGATCTCTGGCTGCTGGGGCTTCGCTGTAGGCGACGGCATGGTTATCAGCCATCTTTTTCTGTGGGCTGAATATAATCCTTACCTGCGTCAACGGGCTCTACCATGTCCAGCGTGGGGGCCGCACGATTAGCATCAGATTCCAGATGGAGAGCGCCAGCAGTATCAGGGCCGTCGGAGCGTAAAGGTGGCCCACCCCCGCCACTGAAAAGAAGACTCCAACCAACAGCAGAGACTGGGCCACCGCGAACGCCAGTGCGGCCAGGCCCCAAAGCAAGGAACGCCCCCTATGGACACTGCATGCGACACTCAAGCCGGCCGCAGCTCCTGGAACGCCAATGAGGGCGTACAATACCAAATCGCCCCACGCCACGCCGGGGTCGTGATGCCCGAACGGAAGCAGAAGGAAGACTACTCCAGCCCCTAAGGAAACCACGCCTGCCACAAGTGAAGTTACCAGTAGCCAATTTACCATCATGCTTCTCTGGCCCGGGAATAAAACTAGGGCAAGGGATACCTGTCGGCGTAGCACACCCAGTTCAATGGCCCAGGGGGATCCCCCTCGTGGCTGCACTCATAACCCCAGCTTCCGGCCCAAGCCGAGAACTTGGTCCGCTGCCAGTGTTCAGAGCCGGAAATGGCAAGGTTGTCAAAATTCCCCTCTGGTCTGGCTATAGACCGAACTAGACCCGCTTGGCCACCATGTATAGGTGCACTCTTGGGTATACCATGTAGTTACAAAAAAGGCCCTGCCCGATTTCTTCTATTGTGGCCACTGCCCACCGAGCTACCGTAATCATAGTAGTCCATCCCCGCAGTGGTCCTAGTCACAGCAATGTCAAGGGGCTCGTGGAGAGCGGAGGCAGACCCTCCTCGATACTCCTGAGATGACGCCCTCACACCCCTGGCGCCAGCCACTCCGGGATATTTCGTATCCGCAGGCGCTACCTCTTCCCCATTAACAGCATCCTCGTCGTCCTCGTCCTCTATCGGTTCCTCTAATCGGTCTGGACTGAAAGCTATCTTCGATACAATTACTGAGCAATCATCATCCCTACGGATGGGAAGTTCAAAAAGGACAGGACAAAACCATATTCAGAGGAGATAACCCGGTAAGGGGGGTCATGACTGTTGAGACATACCCGATACTGAAAAGCCAGTCCATCGGGGACCTGGCCGATGAGTACATGGCCACCCTGCTTGCCAAGGCGCCGGACTGGGTACATTTCAATCCTCAATGGGCCGGTGGAGGAACAAACACATCAGGACAATACCTCACCCTCAAATTCTCGAGGCAGCAAAACCAAGCCAGCTGCAGAGAAGACGGAGAGGCCCATATCTTTAGATCCAAATTCGCACCCAAAAAGTTGATCAGCTACGCGGTAACAATGAGCGTCTGTGAGGCCAGCGCGGGCCAATTACCCCAAAGCAAGAAAGCATTTCTGAACAGCTTCAGAGAAGATTAATCAAGATACCAGACAGACAAGGCCAGAACCCTAGCCAAGTAAAATCTCACTCTCTCCCCGTTCCCGGACCACCTGGAACGCCGGCCCTTGTAACCCCCCTGGAGTTCCGGGCAGCCAGGCCAACGACAACGCGGCCAGTGGAATCAACAGAACCCTGCGGTTTGCATTCTTCACCACCGAAGGGATAATCTCCCCACAAGTCCCCAAGGACCACACCCGGGAGCGCGAGGAACAAAAGCTCCCCGCAGAACCTCCCTTATAATCATTTAGCCCGGGGGAACCCCCCCGGAAACCACTGGCACCAGATAGAAACAGGGATTCACGATTCCCTCGTAACCACGAAAAAACAACCAGCGAGGAAAACTATGCCCACGGAGGCAATCCAGGACGCCGTCCTGAACGGCATCATTACCTGTAACCAGTGCAACGCCGAATGGCGCTCAGGCAGGACGAGACCGGCAACCAGAACCCCTACTTCACCTGCAGCCACCAGACGGGGCAAAGCTCCACCGGATGCCTGACCCCGGACCTCGACGCCCACCAGATCGACAAACTGGTGGTCGAGACAGTCATGGAAACGATCATGACCACCAAGCACCTGAACATGCTTATCGCCAAAACGGATCAGATGCTGGCAGAGAAACTGGAAGACCTCCAGGACTGCCCGATGGGCCAGGAAGCGCAGATGTACAGCAGAAACGACCTCCAGGTCATGACCACCAGCCACGACCTTCTGGTCCAGGCGGCAGGAAGCCCCCAGGCACTCCGGGAAGTGCTCAGCAAATTCATCGACGACATCCGGATAACGCCCGGCAACGCCGCCGTCCACTACAAGATCCCGCTGCCCCAGGGCAACCCCCTGGCCGGGCAATTCGAGCAGGACATCCCGCTGCCATTGGATACCCTGGCCAACCGGCTGCCGGTTCTCGGCTAGTCAGGCAGCAAGCTCGTCCTTCTCCTCGTCAGACTCCGTGGGCGGAATCAGACGGAAACCCAAATTGACGGCAAGCCGGCCAATATCCTCCATGACGGACTCCCAGGACTCAGCGGCAATGTCCTCATCGCCGTTCTCCCCTCCATTCTCCAAGTCTCCTGCATTGATCAACCGCAACTGGCGCGGTCCCTGGTTTCTCTCTGGCATTCCGGTGGCTCCTGCGGAACCACCTGCCCCAATGCAGCGTCATTACCGAAAGCAGTGACCCTGGGCCCAGGCTTGCATAAGCACAAGAACGGCTATTACAATAATCAATGAACACAAGGGCGGTGATTCCTGCGTGTTCTTCTTTCTGGTGGGGGTCGGCGGAGTGCAAGTCCGCCGATCCTCTTTTTTTGTCCCGAAGGTACCAACCAAACCTCATCGTGCAAGCCAAGGTTTAGAATACCCTCACCCGTTAAGTTTACCCAATGGATATATGGTATGTCCACCCCGATCTGTCACTAAAAGCAGGATTCTGCTAAGATAAACGTATGGCGACACCCCAAGCAACTGTCAGCTTCTAAATTGACATTCCATATACCTAAACATATAATACTATTCTCCCAGCAATTCAGCATCAGCCCGTCACATCCTTTACCCATTGCGAGGTGAGCCATGGCTGTCGTAACCGTCCAGGCATACGCATGTGAAAGGTGCAACTACCGCTGGACTCCCCGGGACTTCCCGGTCACCACCAACGTAGAAAAGCAACCCAAGGTATGCCCCAAGTGCAAGAACCCATTCTGGAACCGGCCAAGAGTCCTCAACATTCCGGCCGAGAACCGGGCAGCCTCCAGGGCGTAGGGAACCGCCCACGTCGAACCGGACCCAGCGGGTCCAACACCCAGTCTCCAGAACCCAGGGGGAAGAACATGACAGTAACCATGAAACGAATTCACTCAGTTGACGGCCCCATCCGCGTAGTGATCTACGTGCGGGTATCAAGCAGGAACCAAGACATCGAAAACAGCAGCGAAGCCCAGATAGCCGAGTGCAAGGCATACATAGAGAAGATGGGATGGACCCTGACAACCACTTACATAGATAAGGCCAGGAGCGGCCGCGACGATAAGCGACCCCAGCACAACCTGATGGTCCATGATGGAACAAAACAGGACCGGGATTTTGACAAGGTCGTCATGTGGAAAGTCGACCGCTACGCCCGGCACGCAGACTACGCAGCGCTGACCAGGGCAATGCTGCGCAGAAACGGCGTCGAGGTCATTGCCATCAAAGACCCCATAGGGGACGGCCCGTTGGCCCGCGCTATGGAAGCCTTTCTGGATGCCATGGCCGAGATCACGTCCGACGGCATTGCCGAAAACGTCAAAAGGGGAACCCGGCACCTGGCCAGGCAAGGGTATTACCTGGGCGCCATAACGCCCTACGGCTACCAGATCAAAAAGGTGCCAGTTGGAGAAAAGCTCCACCAGAAACTGGAAATAGACCCAGAGACCAGCAAGGTAGTCAGAGAAGCGTTTGAACATGGCCTGGCCGGCAAGAGCATCAACTACATCATCCGAGACTTCTACGCCAAGGGGGTCCCCAGCCCTACAGGGCTGCCCAAGTGGCGTGGAGGAACCATCTCCGGGATGCTGCACAACCCTGTCTACAATGGAACGATAGTCTGGTCGTCGAACACCGACGACGATGATGGAACGGTAATTTACCCCAATGCCCACCCGGGAATCGTTACCGAAGAGGAATTCGACAAGGTGCAACGCCTGATGGGTGCCAGGTACCACAAACCGAAGGAACCAAATAAGAACAACAACCCCAGGGAACTGGGCAGCAGCTACCTGCTGTCAGGAATAATCAGTTGCCGACTGTGCGGCGGCAAGATGAGCCCGCACCCCGCAAAAAGCGGCACATACGCTTACTACAATTGCAAGACCAGGATAGACCTGGGCAAGGACGTGTGCGACTGTCCTAACCAGAACTCAATAAAAATCGAAGCAAAAGTCATGGCACAAATCAGGGAGGACATCCTGGTAGATGCCAACATCAACCAACTCATTGACCAAGTCAAGGCCGACACCACCAAGTTCAGCGTGGATTACGCTGCCCAGATGGCGGACCTGGACAAGAGGCTGGAACAGATCAGCAGACGCCAGGACCGGGCCCTGGAGGCGTTCGAGATGGACACCATCACCCGGGAGAAATACCTGGAACGCATGAATGCCCTCAAGGAGGACCAGTACCGGCTGGAACAGGAGAAAGCCGACGCAGAGGCCATAATGGGCGAAGACGCGACGATTTTGACCGACCCCAACTCGGTCAGCGATCACGCCACCCAGCTCAGGGAATTCCTGGAGAACGTGGAACCCTCGGAGTGGAAGCCGATTATCCGAACCTTCGTAAGGAACGTGTCCATCGGCCACGACGAAGGGGTAATTACCTACAAGATTCCCCTGCCGGACGACGACCCCTTCACCCGCAGAATGACCAGCACCATAGACTTGTCTGGAAAAGTTCTTTCTTCTGTAAGCTCAGCCCCGTCAAAGGGGAAGGGACTCTTAAGATAATTACCTTAGTGTTTGTCTGGAGGAACTAATGCTCTCCCGGAGCGCGCAAAGTCTCTATTGGCTCG